CTTTCCTCAGCTGGACGTTGAACTTGCGGCCGATCTTTTTGGAGTATCCCACAGAGGAAGTGGCGCTGGTGGGCCTGGAGGTTTGGGCCGGGCCTGTCGGGCTCATGTTGGAAGAGTTCGCTGTGTGTGGTAGCGTGGGATAGCTCCGGGTCGAATCCGCTTTGGACAGTCTCCGCGGGCTGTAGTCCACGACTCCTCCTAACAGACTACCTCTGTCTCCAGAACCAGAACCAGTCTGAAGGCCCAGTTCGTTCTGAGACAGCAGCTCGTACTGGGCTTTCTTCACCGCTGGAACTACATGGAACAGGATGAATGGAGAACGCATCGCCTGTGTGAACAAATTCTGGGCCCTGAGGAAAGAACAACACACACACACACACACACACACACACACACACACACACACACACACACACACACACACACACACACACACACGTCTCAGTAAGGATGTATCTCTTTGTCGATTACTGAACAGGCTCATCCTAAGTACTGGGATTGTTAAAAGCAGAGCACATGGAGAGGTCGAAAGGCTGCCTTGCTTAATCGCTGGCTAATTGTACTAGTACAGTTGGAAACAAGGTTAATTCACATTATCTGCCATTTCCATAATCGCAAAGCCTTGGGGAGGAAGCAGGGAGATGTATTAGAGGCAGGAAAGCAGGATCTGTTTTCATAAGTGTGGCACATGGAGGACAATAACTGATCAGACGCACAAGACACGGGCAGATAGGAACACTGAAGAGCACTATAACCTGGATAAGTCAAAGAAAGAAAGAAATAACAGATCATGTTATGATGGAGTGGTTTATAAGTAACTGATGCATATTATTTTTTTTATAAAATATAGTAAATTGCAATGAGTCACAGAATTAGGTTATTTTATTAAAGAAATAGTTCTCTGGAATAAAATAAAAATAAATTGTCACTCAAAAAAGCAACATAAGAGTCATGAAATTAGTGCATATGCTATATGACTTACACAGTACCGGTCAAAAGTTTGGGGTTGGTAAGATTTTTTCTATGCTCACCAAGGATGACATACAGTACAGTAAAACTGTAAAATTGTGAAATATTATTACATGTAAATCAGCTGTTTTCTATGTGAATATAGGCCTATAGTAAAGTGTAATTTATTCCTGTGATCAAAGCTGAATTTTCAGCATCATTACTCCAGTCTTCAGTGTCACATGATCCTTCAGAAATCACTCTAATATGATGATCTGATGCTCAAGAAACATTTATGATTATTATCAATGTTGTAAACAGTTGTGCTGCTTCATATTGTGATGAATAAAAAGTTCAAAAGAACAGCATTTATTTGACAAAGAATCGTTGGCAACCATGTAAAAGTCTTTCAAGTCACTTTCGATCGTCTTTGCCGTGTGAAAAAATAAAGATCTGACCCCGAACAGTTGAACGGTTCTGAATCTTGGCATAGAAAATCTGATATTTTACTAGCAAAAATTGTAAGCTTCGGAAAATTTTCAGCGAATAATATTTCAAATGTCAGCCTGTTCTTCATATAAAGACCTTAGGTGACTTGGAATACAGTGCACAAGTCATACAGAGCACTTTTATCTTGCTTTTTTAGTCAGATTTTGGAAATTTGAAGCTCCAGTCCACATTTACTTTTTTTGTTATTGTAAATTTTGTTATTGTTACTTCATACAATTGCATTGTACTAATACCAAACAAATATAAGACAAGCACATTGACATCACAGGTTAATTTCACTATTTTGCATATATATTGTTTGACACGGGAAACTCAAACCCAACGAGAAGCACGAGAAATAGCCGAGGAATACGAGCTCAACAGTCGTGTGTGTTTCTGTTTACTCCTCTAACATAAGAAACATCGCAGCGAGTTATTTCCATCTCAATAAACTCTTCATCAGATCAATCTCTGCATCTAGAGAGCGATAGCGTCTCACTTTAGGGACGCCCATCTATTTTTATGCAAATGTGTCCCGACCCGCCTCCAAAGCGAGCAGTGTGTGTGTGTGTGTGTGTGTGTGTGTGTGTGTGTGTGTGTGCGGAGCTGTGACACGCGGATAATCACCAAACTCACTCTGTCTGATTGAATAATAAATGACTCCATCAACGCATCATTACATTGAGTTAGATCAACCGCTGATAAATATTTACCCATGCAAACAATCCAATAAGATTAGAATATCGTTATGAATTATAACTCCACATGGAGCATAATCAAGAGAGAGAGAGACAAAGCCAGATGAAGAAAACACTGTTCTGTGCTCATGTGTGTGATTCCAGCATCTGGCTGCTCATGTGTGAGAGGAACCGGCGACAGCGTAGATTAAAACCGCAGTCTCTTGCGGATCGACTCGAAAAGCAGAAACCGCAAGTGTGTTTACGGATGACTACCGTATCGAATCGACGAGTCGAACGCCCTGGGGAATGGCAATATACGAAGAACAAAAGCCTGCAATATCTTAACATACACACGATCGACCTGAAGCGCGTGTAATGCAGAAGGCTGTGTTTAATCCTCGAGAACTGGGTGACCCGCTGGGTTTGCGTTAGCCTCAACGATAGCCTATATAAGGTCCTGACTGGGTCTCATGCTAAAATATAGCCAAGCAATTAAAACATTATAATGCTTTGGGGCACTGGGGAAATTAACTGGTTGTGTTGAGTTTGTGTAAGCGGCCTGAATGATGTATGTAAATGAGTTTTAGATTAGATTATGAATTATCCCGCAGCTGTGCCCTTTCAGTGCCCTGTGTCGAACCCGGTCCAGTTTCTCCTCTTCCAGTGGGCGTTCTCCTGTTGCAGCTGAGTTTGCTCTCTTCGAGCACATCACGTGATCATCTGGACCGAGACGCCCGAGCCCGGGCCAGAGGAAGCGGGTGATGAGAGATCTGGAAGCAAGACCTCTTTTCTACAAGCAATATTCGTATCTGTTCATCATAATCTGCCTTACAGCAAACGTTACGCTACTGAGATGATGGAAAACAACTGCATTTGATACAACTTTATTTTATGGTGTGTTTGGTACATAAAGTTATATTAACAACTACAACCTAATTCAAAACGCTAATCCTATAGTAAGTGCATGTTGTTAATTAATATTACTCAGTACTTACAGTAAATGTATACTGTAATTATACTGTAACAAGGACACCTTAAAATAAAGTGTATTTTTTAAATTTTCTACTGTGAGTTGTGCTTTTGTTTGCAATTTTTCTTGCACTTTACTTTCTAGTTGGTTGCTAGGGTGTAGCAAGATGGTTGTTAGGGTGTTACTGGGGTATTGCATTTACAGTCAAGTCTCTAGGGTGTTGCTAGGGTGTTTGCTTGCTGTCCCAAGTTAAACAAAAAAAGTTTGCATGCAGCTGTTGTGAATTCGGCTGAAACTGTGTGTAAAATATTGTGTGCAATTATCAGTGAAGTGATTAAGCCCACTATTAAATTCAGCAGTAAAAACGTTCTCCCCGGTACAAAAACAAATTACAACTGTTGCATATGATCGCCAACAGTTCTTCTTTCTGTGCAAAAGTAGCTAATTAACATTGTCAATGGGTCCTAGATAGATACATAAATAAATAAATAAAAATTAAATTAAATTAAATTAAAATATATAAAAAAAAACGTTTTAGTTTTGATTTATTGTTTGAATGTTTTTATTTTATTTTATTTTCCAATGCTGCTGATGTCCGAGTGTGGGTAATGTATTCAATATATCATATATTCAATAATTTCAGAAAGTTTTTGCAGGTTAATTTCAATAAACAGAAATTTTGCACTGAGGAGGGATTTTTGAGTATCATACAGTATAACAGTGCATCAAACATCAGGGAAATCAAGGAAATTGTATAATAAACCTTTCAATGACCTCTATTGTTCCAACTTCTGCCGGCTTTGAACAGAGATGTTTTTCTTTGTTTAGTTAGCGAGAGATGAGATGAAAGAACATTGTGAAGGTCGACGGCCAGACTGAGGAGACTTTCAAAGCTCAGAGGAAGACTGAAAGCTCATGAAAGTGTGAAAAGGACAGAGAGGTTGAAAGGATAAAGCAGAGCGGCAGCTGAGAGAGAACGAGAGGTGAAGACGTTCCCTCCGTCTCCTCCAGAGAGAGGCTTACTGTTCAAATCGGATGTTGCGGAGGTCTCCGTTATTAATCCTGACGATACAGTCGTTCTCCTGGAACAGAGATTCCCGCTCCGCCTTTCCGCCTCTCTCCAACCTCTTCACTAACAAACCCAGAGTCCTGGAACAGTCACGGCACATATCAGAGACACGAGCGCTGGTCTCAGATCAGACACACCACACATTACTGTCAGAGAACTCACAGTGATAATTACAATCATTCAGTCAGTTGTACATGCTGTTGTAAAGATATTTTGAGAAATCAAGAGACCCCTGTAGCTCAGAGTGCTACAAATATTTACCACGGTAACCACAGCTTTGCAAAAACACCAGTTACTTCAATCATTGTTACTTGGTTAGACAGTCTTGTTCCCCATGTACATGTATTTATTACAGTTACTACAATAGCTAGGTAATAACTAGGTACTAACCTCGAACCTACGCGTAAAGGGTTAGTTCACCCAAACATGTAAACTCTGTCAGTAATTACTCTCCCTCATGTTGTTCAACCCCGTAAGACTTTCGTTCATCTTCAGAACACAAATTAAGATATTTGTGATTAAATCTGAGAGCTGGATCACTCCTCCATAGGCTTCTTAAGGGATCGAAACTGGCCGGCCCAAAAGTTATGTAAGACATCGTTAAAATAGTCCGAGTGACGACAGTGGCTCAACCTTAAAGGATTAGTTCACTTTTAAAAAAACTTTTGCTGATAATTTACTCACCCCCATGTCATCCAAGATGTCCATGTCTTTCTTTCTTCAGTCGAAAAGAAATTAAGGTTTTTGATGAAAACATTCCAGGATTTTTCTCCATATAATGCACTTTGCTGGGCACCAAACGGTTCAAGGTCCAAAAGACAGTTTCAGTGCAAACTGCAAACTGTTCAAATGGCTTTAAACGACACCAGACGATGAATAAGGGTCTAATCAAGCGAAACGATCGCTCATTTAAAAAAGAAATAACAAAGTTTAAGTTTTATAAGCTCAAATGCTCGCCTTGCTCTGTTCTGTGTGACTCTCCTGTTCAAACTCGTTCAACAAAATAAACAAATCTTTTTCCGAGTCAATTCGTTCATTTCGTTCATTAAATGAACCAAATGACTCGAAAAAAGATTTGTTCATTTTGATGAACGAGTTCGAACAGGAGAGTCACGAACGTGCATCACAGAACAGAGCAAGGCGAGCATTTGAGCTTATAAAACTTAAACTTTGTTATTTCTTTTTTAAATGAGCGATCGTTTCGCTTGATTAGACCCTTATTCATCGTCTGGTGTCGTTTAAAGCCATTTGAACAGTTTGCAGTTTGCACTGAAACTGTCTTTTGGACCTTGAACCGTTTGGTGCCCAGCAAAGTGCATTATATGGAGAAAAATCCTGGAATGTTTTCATCAAAAACCTTAATTTCTTTTCGACTGAAGAAAGAAAGACATGGACATCTTGGATGACATGGGGGTGAGTAAATTATCAGCAAAAGTTTTTTTTAAAAGTGAACTAATCCTTTAAGTTTATCAAGCGACGAGAATACTTTTTGTGCGCAAAAAAAATAAAAAAAATAACGACTTTATTCAATTATTCATTTCCTTCTCTGTGGGCCTCGAGATTTCACGTAGTGAAACTGCGCAAAGCTTCTAGGTTGTACGTCACGCATCACACACATGACCAGCGTCGGCCAATAGTGAGCCTGCGTGTGATGTACAACCCAGAAGCGCTGCGCTGTTACACTACGTGAAATCTCGAGGCCCACAGAGAAGGAAATGAGTAGTTGAATAAAGTCGTTATTTTTGTTTGTTTTTTGCGCACAAAAAGTATTCTCGTCGCTTGATAACCTTAAGGTTGAGCCACTGTTGTCACTCGGACTATTTTAACGATGTCTTTCATAACTTTTGGGCCGGCCAGTTTCGATCCCTTAGAAGCCTATGGAGGAGTGATCCAGCTCTCAGATTTAATCAAAAATATCTTAATTTGTGTTCTGAAGATGAACGAAAGTCTTACGGGGTTGAACAACATGAGGGAGAGTCATTACTGACAGAGTTTTCATTTTTGGGTGAACTATCCCTTTAACCCAGATTATACTACACAGTTATTTCTGAGGAAAGTTTGCATTATAACAAATTAACAGTGTCTTTGTCTTGTTATTATTATTATTATTAGTTAGACTTTACTATAAGGTGTCTTTGTTACAGTGTCATGATACATTTAAGTACTGAGTAATATTAAGTATATAGGGTTGAGATTAGGTTTGGTTGAGGGTTAATTGCATGTAATTATGCATAATGTATAATATTACTATATAAACTACATGTAACGTGTAACAAGAACACTGAAATAAAGTGTTAACTTATTATTAGTATGATTAAATTACACAATATTTGAATAAATGATTATTAATTAGTAACTAGCACAGTATCACAATAAATTATTATTAATAATAATTTCATACTGTATTGAAAATAACTGTAGTAGTATTTTTTGGGGTGGAAACTACGGGAATCATAAGTCCCAAAACCACAATTCTATATTTAAAAAGAAAACTGTGTGTCCACTGCATCCTTTCATGACAAGATATTTATGTCATATTCAAAAAGGATTTAAAAACAGTAGATGGAGCTGTCACATTTATCAAAGAAAAAAAGTCAAACAAAAAAAAAACAGTAAAAAAGAATACACATCCCATTGATCTTGAACTTTTGAAAAGTTTACTGTTCCTAGCGGCTCTTTCAACTCAATACATCAAAAAAGGACTTTCTGAACTTAAGCCCACTTTGGCCATATGGATTTTTTGGCACTGTTCTCAGACCTGCAGTGGTTTCAGACTCCCTGATCTACAAACCCTGAGATATAATCATGTGAAATGCACCGTCGCATCGGATGAGTTTAAAATAAAAAAAAGTGCAGAGGAGATTTTGATATAAACAGAGCTTTCGAACTCTTTCCTCCTTCCCGAGGCCCGAGTCTGTTGCATCATTTACTTTTACTAAAACTAAAACAAACAACACATTAATACGTTTAGGAAGCAAGAATGTGTGTGTGCCGATCGCAGAAGACAGGGAATGTGGAAATATCCAAATATCAGTTCTTCATACAATATAATGTTGCAATGCTTAAACTCACTTGTAGCACTTAAAAAAAAAAAAAAAATTTTTTTTTTTTTTTTCCATTTAGACAAAATGGAAATTTTAACATCGGCCATTTATCAGGTATCAGTCATAATATTGGCCAGAAATGTAATATTGACTCATTCCCAATTAAAACATATTACTATACAATATATTTAATATGTTATCTGTGACATTTGGTAATTTTTTCCTATGGATGCACAGACAGCAGAACCTGTGGCGTACAAACTTTCCTTGCATGAGCTGGAGAAACAGATGGATGGATGGATAGATCAAACCCTCCTTTAAAGGAACAAACTGTGTGCTAGAAAGATGTGATTAGTTTGAGTGGCTATGGTGTGGTCTTGTGGAGTAATCACACAGCTTGCACTTTGTCTTCATAATCTGGATGTAAAGCAGCTGTGGGGAAGCTCCAGGATTAGTCCGACTCCCACTGGACCGATGTGCGATCTGTACAGCCTCATTATTCATTAGCTTACAAAAGGAGAGTTACGGTGCGGTCACGCTAAACTTCAAGCATGGAAAATTACTTCAAAACACGCAACAAATATGGCTGACAGGATATGAGAAACATTAATGCATTCATTATCCTATAACTAGAACTTCATTTATCTGTAAGTGGATATTTAACTGTGCATTAGTATTGCCCTAATTTTATAGATTACATTTGCCATCCAGCACTCACTTAAAGATAAACTTGCAAAACATTAATAATATAATAGCACTAATGTAATGTTTAGCAAATCTTCAAATGGATATGTATTTTATACTGTACTTTATATTGTTGTGATGCATAACTTAACTTTTTAAACATATATTGACTTTTGTTTAAGTGTAGCATTTGTTTTATTTAATTAGACAAAAGAGTGTTTTAATTTCAGCCATTTATGGGTTTATAACAAATCTCCAAATATATCCAAATATCAGATCTTCATACTTCATTTAATGTTGCAATGCTTAAACTCACTTATAGCAATAAAAAAAAAAAAAAAAAAAATGTTTTTAGTTTTTTTTTTTCGTTCTTTTCATTTAGACAAAATGGAAATTTTAACATCGGCCATTTATCAGTTATCAGTCATAATTTTGGCCAGAAATGTAATATTGACTCATTCCCAATTAAAACATATTACTATACAGTATATTTAATATGTTATCTGTGACATTTGGTCATTTTTTCGCTATATGAATTTGCAGGTCAGAATAAACAAACACAGCAAAAGGTGAATATTTAATCCTTGCTTTTCTTCTCTTTGGCATTTGCACATGTATAAACGGAAGCCAATGGAGCACTTAGTGTGTCCAAACCTTAAGGCTGAGTCCAATTTGCATTCTATCCATCCTAAATAAAAGTCCTAAAAGTATGCAGGACTATTATATCTCGATACTGACAGACTATTTACTCAAAAGTATGCGCTTTCCCTAGCCTGGGTGCCAGCCGCTCTTAGCCCCGCCCACAACATTTGAGGACGGGAAGTTCGGTCTGGACTTGATCCATTGTGAAGCAACTATGCCTGAACCAAAGCTGTTCGGACCAATGAAATAGTCAGGGCGGGCTTTATAAGATGATGGACAGCTGATAAACAGTAACGTAATCATCACGTCACCAAAGAGCGCTTGGGTTGAGTTAGTTTACAACAAAGATGGCCGCCGCTGGAGAACTGAGATGTGTAGCCATCGCGTCTGTTATAGAAGATCTAGACAGCGCATTCGTTTTAAAAGAGGAACAGAGAACCGCGATCAAGGCATTTGTCGATCGGAAAAATGTTTTTGCCGTCCTTCCTACAGGATTCGGTCGATCCAATTGAGTTCAGAGGCATTTTCTTTCCTGGTTCGGTTGAAACACGGCCCATAATCACAGCCCAATGGAGCCGTATCAGACTCACATGCTGACTAGAGTCTGAGTATGACGACGTCAGGCGTTTTCCCATTAAAGTAAGGACCTTTTGTGTGTAATATAATCTCCTTTAGTGTCCTGTTTGGAGCACTTGACAATGTGGTATCAAAGAAATTTTGAGCATATATGCCATACATCTAAAAGATGGCTTTAGTTCTGGCTTTAGCATAACCAGAGACGCCTGTGTGTTGAGTGATGGCCCAGAAGACTAAGCGAGAAGGAGACCACCTGTTCTTTTCCACTGCCTTTAATTGAATAACAATGCAATCAGGATCCATTTATGGCGAGCAATTAGACCCTGACTTGTTTGCGGTGAACACTGGTCATGTGATGAGATCTCGTTACTGGAGTCATGTTTCCGCAAGACTCCGTGTCTGTGTAATTTTCGGAGATGTCGTACGCCTCATGCTGTCGGCAGAGAGAAGACACTGGTCATTGTAGAAGTTCACACTCTGAGATCCCGCTGTCCCCTCAGTGCCCTCTATCAAGATGCTAATGAGTGAACATTCAACGGCGCGCACCAATCACACCGCGAGAGGCTGATGAAGTCATTACAGACGTGTGGCTGTGGAAGTGGGCCATTGTGATTGGCTGAGAATAATTGACCGTTCTAGTTAGTTATTAACTAAAATATCACGTCGGTGGCCATTTACAACACTGAGATTTATACAAGGAGATGACGACAAGGACGGATTGCTACTGAATGTGAGCGGGGGGGGATATGGTAATGTATGAAAAGATACATACTAATAAGTGTGAATTAAACATACAATGAGTGGCATTGTCACTGTAATATAAGAATGTTTAAATTCTTAAGGTGCAGTCACAATAGATTTCAAGCATTATTTCACAGCCTACTATTAATATAAAATGAATAAATTAAAAATGTAATAACAAAAATTAATTAAATAATAAAAGTAATACAATGAAATCATAAAAAACAATAAAATAAAATGAAATAATAACATGACGTGATATAAAAAAAAAAAAAAAAATTTAAATAAAATAAAATAAAATAAAATAAAATGAAATAAAATAAAATATGTCCATTGCAGGTATTATTATGTCAAGCATATCAATAATTAAACTAAGTTCTGAATATTAGTGATTGGGCATGTAAAATATTTTTTAGGATGATAATTGTGGTAATTGTTATTATTATTATTATTATTATTATTATTAAATCTATCCCTTTATCATGAATCCAATACTGAAACTCATTATAGTATTTTTTTATTTTTTTGGCTTGACATTCATTGTATATACCAGCATCAAATTAGGTCTGAAAAGGTTGTGCGTTTTTATAGCTGATAAAAAGCTCTCCGAAAATCCCTTTATAGTCGTCATCTACAGGATTTGAACACTTTTCTCATTTATTTGCACCTTCCTTTTTTCATTTTGTGATTCTTACAACAGCTGACCTTGGATGTTGTGAATGACCCATGATACGGATGAGCTTTTAGTCAGATTGGGTGAAGCAGATTAGATGAATTGAGTTGGCCGGATTGAGGTTTTCCTATAGCAATAAAGTTCCCTAATTTATTCAGCGCCATGCCCCGTGTCCCCTTTGTCCTTGTTTAGCAGTGTCCCATTCCATGTCGCTTTGCTTTCATTATTTAACTGGAGAACATACACTAGTTATAGACAGACCCACTCGAGAGAGTGCCATACTGTCAATACGTCCTTGAGGAATGATGAAAAACTATCTTGAATGGATGGTACATGCTGGGGAATAATAGTCAACTTCCACATAGACACCTTGAGGGAAACTTGTCAAGGTATGAAAGAAAGTTGAAGGATGCAGAGGACACAACTGGATTATTCAGAACAAAACTGCAAAGAAATGTTCATAAAGGGTGTAAAAGATAAAAAAAAACAAGTTCTATGGAATGAGTTGGCAAGAATAAAACAAATTCATGGTAGACAATGTATTTTTGTTGAGCTTTACCTTCTGTCTCTGCCACTGAAAGGCACCACGTGGATTCCTAGGGGCCCGCCGCCATTGGACACCTCAACCGGCTTTAACATTTCACTAGGGACATTGAGAAATGAGGGGAATGTGAGGAGAAACAAAACCCAAGAAAAGTAGTAAACAAAGAAAAGGCAATACATAAAAAGTTTAGAAGATGACAGAGCGGCTATGAGTAGCGACGAGCTGAAGGAAGCTAACGCTAGTCTAGATCCAGCTCAGTATGAGTCCATCTATAACTCCAGGGGCCATTACGACACACGGGTCGATGGAGGAACCAAACAGACACTTCAATTAAGTGATTAGGATCAGATTGAGGCCTACAGTGGGCTAGTTCTGGCTTTTTTAAAAGTCAGGGAGAACACTACACCTGTGAGAGAAAAAACACATTGCAAGAATACATGGGATAAGGAGAGGACAACAACAGAAATGACGAGGTGCTGCGTTCTTTTCAAGACAGTTTAAGGCTAATTCACACAAAATAATATATTTTAGAACACAAGTCAGGGTTATTACAATGAACTATTTGAGTAAGCTATTTGATACTTGAAATAAAGTTTTACAGAATTGAACTTTTCCATGCTTCTTGCACTTGAACAGATATATTCAAACAAAATTAAGTCAAAATGCCCATATTGGCGAGTTTCCTTGTAAACATAGTCAGTTATGTCTCGTGTAAATGTAAACAGTTGAGAAGTAAAATGCATGTGTATCAGTATATTGGATCCACGCATTCACTCTTAAAGTGACAGTAGCCTAATATTCCTGCTGCTATCTGTGTTTTTAATGTTAATCAAACAACAAAAGAAAAAGAACAATCCCTCACTGCACTTGACTGGATAACGTCTGTAGTTTTAAGAGCAGGAATAAGAAGTGGAAAAATATTGATTGTTTCTGAGCAAGTTTACCCTAAACACACCCTCCATCTGCCACTGGTCAGTAAAAAAGAAAGCCCCGCCCCCAAACTCATGCCATTGGTTGAGCCGTTGCTATGTTGGGCAGGTTGAATTCTCAAAAGTTTTTTCACTTTTACACCTATAAATATGGTAATTAGCTTTGTAATATTAAGCTGTATATGAAATATATAAAATACACTTGATTGCTAGATTTCAATTTTAAGATGACTTTGAATATACTATATGCATTGCATTGTGTGGACTTTTTGTTGCTTGACAGCCAATGGTAAATAGATTTTCATTGCATAGAAAAGCGCAGTCTGGACATTTTTCTAGATATCTCATTTGTGTTCAATAGTATTTATTTTAAAATCTTTTTGGGTGAACTATTTCTTAAAGATATAGTTTTTTTTTTTTTTTTTTTTTTGGATACACAAAGGAAGTTCTAAGAAAGACAATCAATTCACGAATTCCTGTGACGACTTACTCGAGTGAAGCGGATTCAACACAGGAATCTGCCCGTCCCACCGGTTCTATCCTTCCGTTCTTCCCGTTGTCTGTTCTCTCCTCGTCTTCTTCTTCTTCCTGTGGGGTACCAGAGAAAAAACACTGTGTTACATCTCACATAAACCTCCCAGTCTCTGTCTCCCTGTCTTGCTCTAATCTAATAGAGTGACCATAATGGCTGCTGTTTTAAATCAGGGTGACGGAGAACGGCCCTGGCGCAGTCGTGACATCAGAGCGTGCCTTTGAAAAGATGCCTGTAATCGATTATTCATATTCAATCAATCAGTCTGGGCTCGGCCGCTCAGGTCTGCTGCTAATCGGATTAGGGAAGAGTTGAGTGGATGCTCATTTGTTTCTTTCACTATCCTTATCTAATTTACATCTCTCTGTCTTTCTATTTCTCAACCTCTTGACACATCTGATATGTGCAGATGTCATTTACAATTCTTCAAAAAATGTATAACAATAAGGTCTTGTCAAATAATGGAGGCAGGATTGAAGTCAGGATATCAAACATATTGACAGGATGACCACAAAAAGCATTTCAGCTGCAATCATTGATATGTTTCGTCAAGCGTAATAGGAAACAAAGGCCTTCTTTACATTCGGCACTGACGCGCATTTCAAATCCGAATATTCTTTAGCTGGACTGAATTTACACCTTGCCTTTCAATGAGTCTCTAAAGTCAGATCCAATCACACTTATGGACACAAAAAAGAACATTTCTCTCGCACATTAAATCAAGAGATAACCAAAATGGATGTCATTTGAAATAAACGAATGAACGAACGAATGAACGGTTTTGGTCAGATAAAATAATAATAAAACGACAAGTTGTATGGTCTAATGATTTTACACACTCCATCGACATTCCCACAGTGAATAATCCTAATACAAATAAAAAGTGAATAAAAACAAAACTAAGTGAAAAAAGGTGAGAAAATAAACGATATGATCAATAAGTTAAGACAACATAAATGTTTACATTGCTTTAACTCAATTTTCAACTTTTGACAAGTTATACAAGATTAAAGTAATATTTTAAGTCAGTTTAATGTAATTTAAGTTGAGACGACTTAAACATCCAAGTTGATTGTACTTAAAAATGCAAGGCAGCAACTTTTTTTTTTTTTTTACAGTGAGGTTTTGGAAGAGAAAGGAAAGAAGTGTAGTCCATTGGTATAATCCATGAGATATTTACAAGTGCATGAAAAAAAGTGTCTAGAAAATGAACAAGACAACATTCACACTCATTCCCGCTATTGCGTCCTTTATGTCTGAGAAAGAATGCATGTCAATGCAAGTGAAAAAACTCCTCAATCGAGTTTAGCAACAGAATATATTCCACACATTAATTCCACTCGAACCCTTGACTGTGGATCATTTCCAAAGCCAAGTGAGTGTCTAGACACGGGGCGAGATTCTGCAATGGTTTGTTAGCCATGGATATTGATATTCCAGTGGTCTCACCCTTAACCTTCCCCTCTCACCAAAATGTCAAGCACATCTAAATAAGCGCTTCTCCGTCTTTATATGGAAATGCATTCAGACAGTCACCCTCCACCACACGCATCCGCCAGTCTGAAGAGGATGACTGGAGTCCTATTCTCCTCTGTCTGTGTCTTTTTATTGTTGTAGAGGTTACAGAATGAGTAGAGGTCATGAAAATGTTATTAGCAAACCTCTAAAAAAGCAGCGCCAGGTCTGTTACCTTATTCTGGTGAAAATGAGTCAATTGCCTCTCCAAACACAGTCGATTGTCTGTGGTTTAGCAATTTGCAGCCCAATGACAGAAATGGCTGGACTTTTGCCTTCGTATCTCTGTGCTGGGTTGGAAGAAATCCTAATTACACTGATCCGGAGTATTCAATCAAAGCCTGTCACCCACGACACTAAATTAAGAATTATTGCATCAATTTGGGTCATATTTCCAAATTTACAGGTATATACGTCTCACTGATTTTCAATCTTGATATCTGATATTTGAAGCATGATGATAGAAAAGTCTGGACTGAAATGCAGAAAATGTATAAGACAATATTTACATGACAATATGTAACAAAACAATAAGTAAATACAATATTTACAATATTTCCTTAAAAAAGGAAAATACATAGGGATATTAGAAAAGCAGAATGAGTTCATCTCTGTCAAGAACATAATCAATATAAAATTTCACCAAAAAATAAAAACTACATGCTAAAAAAATAGATTTTCATTGTGATATTAGTTACCTCCCAATTTCATTGTAAATTCACTGTTAAAAAAAAATCTCATTAAATGTTGGACGATGACAATTAATTGATAATTATATATTATTTAAATGGAATGTGTGTGTATATAATGTATATACAGATGGACATTTCATGCACATTTAAAGTAACTTTGAATATTAAATGCCATGATTATTTTAGGTTGTCCTTATTGCTTATTATATTTTTTTTATTTTTTTGAGTGTGGGGGGGGGGGGGGGGGGGGGGGTCCTGTCTTATGTTTAGGGCACAAAGTTGTTGAGGACTGCTACTGATGTTCCCTCAAGTAGGTACACGACGTCCTTGTTAACTCTCATAACACAAGCTGCTCGCATTAGCAGAAAAAAAAAAAGGAAAAGTAATAAAGAACTGCATTGAGTAGTTGGAGTAGAGAAAGTGTCATGTGACATGAATGCAGCTGTGCTTGAGTGTCTCTATTCAGCTGTGAATTCTGCTTTCTGCCGCCTGAGAATGAGCTTATTAGCAATAAGAGATACATTTGAGCGGGGACGCGCGTCACATTGGACCACGAGAGCCGGTCCAGGCGTTTGTGGACAGGAGAGAATGGTTCCTGTCACAAAGTCACTCGCACAGAACACAAAGTGTCGCTTTGCCTGGTAGCGGCAGTAATGACAGACACAGGAACCGAGGCTGGATGCCAGAAGCTCATTGTCCGGTTCTGTACACCTGCCAGATGTAAAAGCTCCGATGAAAAACTCCTGCATCAGCCCACCACAGGGGGAGAAGGTCATTCCATGGGCGTCCCAAAGGCGAAGATCCCCATCAGCTTTAAGGGATGAATCCACTGCTGTCATTTGGGTGCTTAAGGCGTCTGCTGATTTGTGGCGACTAAAAATAAGTGTGTTTGTGTGTGTTCGTGAGCTTGGGTGAAGGCCAGAAGCCACTCAGTGCAGCAGTTACAGGAAGCCAGAGGTTACAAAGCTGGCCATTAGACAGACAGTGCATTATATTATTGTTCCTGGCAGATGCAGGAGGTCGGTCACATTGAGAAACTGCTAGCTTGTGAGGAGCTGAAAGGAGTACTTTTTCCAAACTTGAACTATTCACCTTATTTTTAACGTTTCTAGCTGTTTTAACACTGCATTATGCTGGTTGAATTTGAAACTGGTATTAATATTATCATGTTTATTTAATGTATTATTGTATATATAAACACATTGGTTTGTAGCACAAATTGCTTCACTTTGTTATTCTTCTATTTATTTGCCTATAGCGGCTAATGAATCAAGAGTCTCGCACATTCATGGTTGATATCCAGTATGTTGGATGAAATCCAAACAGAGCCCTGCATGATCTTATCGAAGCCTTGCTGCAGGGCTTGAAGGTCACGTCTGTGGAGAGAACCAGTGTCTGACCTCCAGAGCAACCAGAGGAAATCAGGACGTTTTGCAGTTGACAGTGGTGTAACATGACAGTTAGTGATAGAACCAGAGCTTTACCCTCTAGCACTGGGTCGAATTTACGCACAAAGATCGCAAAAGGTAAAGTAACCATGAAATGGAAGTTGTAATAGTCTGTTCTTCCTTATTGCAATGTATTTTCAAGTTAAACGGCTTCTGGAACAAGAACAAATGTAGGGCGGGGCTTGATTGTGTCTGTGAGGAATTGGTTGGATGGTTGTGGTTTGCTATTGGCTGATCTCATGTGAGTGACAGGTTGCCCCGCCCACATTATCAGAGAAGAGAAGCGATGCTGCAAAAGGGAGGGGAAGTTATTCTGATTCAAGATTACGAGGAACATGAATTAAAAAAAATAATAATGATGTGCGCCGAAAAATATTTTTTATAAATACTACAATTTTGCCTTAAAAAAAAAAAATAAGAATGGAAAATGTTTATTTCATGGTGACTTTAATAACACAACGCAAGTCTACAGAACACAACAACATCAAACACTAGCAGAAAAACAGCAGGTTCAATCTGATTTGGGGCTTTTTTTCTCAAACTTCTCTAAGTCAGAGTGTGTTAATTCATGTGGGGAAAAAAATATTTACAAGGGAACACAATAAGGACCCTACTGGAAGAAAGAAAAAAAGGCTAAATTAGCTGAAACTGGTTTGCTGGTCTTGGTTGGTTTGAGCTGGTTTTCAGCTGGTTTACCAGAACTAGTCACTGATTGTGGCTACATTTTTAAAGTGAGTGGCATGAAAATTTCATTTGAGGCATCTTTATCACCCCGCTAGCAGCCATATCACCCAGTAGCCAAAGACTGGTTGCCCACTGAAGCAAAGCAGGGCTGAGCCGGGTTAGTACCTGGATGGGAGACCTGGAAGAGGCCAGCAGGGGGCGCTCACCCTGTGTTCTGTGTGGGTCCTAACGCCCCAGTATAGTGACGGGGACACTATACTGTAACAACCACCATCCTTCAGATGGGACATTAAACCAAGGTCCTGACTCTCTGTGGTCATTAAAAATCCCATGGCACTTCTCGTAAAGAGTAGGGGTGTAACCCCGGTGGCATCCAATGGCCCTTGCCAATGTAAGGCCTCCTAATAATCCCCATCCATTGAATTGGCTCTATCACTCTCTCTCCTCTCCACTATAGCTCCACTATACCTCATCCAAGTGGATGCTGCACACTGGTGGTGGTTGAGGAGAGACCCCAACATGATTGCAAAGCGCTTTGGGTGTACAGTAGTAGATATGAAAGTGCTATATAAATGCCTCAATCATTCATTCATTTAGTGGCAATTAAGCAAAATAGTCAAGTGTAGAACTATCTAAGTTTTCTGTTTCTGTCTGAGAAATAATCAGTAGGCTAACAATAAGCTGTAAAGTGGACTGGGCTCTACGCTGACAGTCGAA